GAGTCCCCCTGGTTCCCGCGCTCTCTGGGAGGGATAGAGCCTGTCGGCCCTGCACTCCTCAGGAATGACGTTCCAGTGTCCTGAGGAATTCGTGGAAGTGTTAGTGCCCTCGCCCTCTCCACACCGCATGGCATTTGTTTCCCGCGTTCCTGTCCCTGTCGGTTGGGGGTGTGGCTCTTCCTGACTTGCAGGGGCTCCCTGGAGCCCAGCACCACCACGTGTCCTCGGATCGGGGCACCTTCTCCCTCCCCATTTGATGGGCTGCCTGGCATTTTCTGTTCTGTGGAGGCTGCATCTGTCCTGAGCTTCAGGGTCTAGTTTGCTGGGGACTGAGGAAGCCACCCCAGGCGAGACCATAGTGGGTGTGCACAGCCTCCAGCATTCTTGTTTTACCTGTAATTTTGCAAGCAGCCTAGAAGTAATTTTTGTGTGAGATGTGAGCGCCCCCCACAGCCAGCACACTCCCAGTGACTAGTGGTGATTGTCACTGCACAGGACTCCAGTGGTTAACCTGCTTCCCTGGGACCCGTCTCCACAGGCTCATCCTTGTGAAGTGTGCTTGCTGCCACCCACCCTCACTCAGATGAACAATGTCTTTTAGACCTTGTCACTTTTTCGTTTGGTTGGGGACACATGCTCCGGGCAGTGGTGGGTGTTGTGCTGGGGTTTGATGGTTTAACCTCACTTAGGATTGCCATCCACTGCTTGTGCCTTCTCACCTCACATCCAGTCCTTCGGGACATCTGCTCAGCTCTTCACAACCTGGCCGCATCCAAAACCTCCAGCCACCGCCAGCCCTAGCCCCTGCTCCAGTGCGTCTATGTCCAAGTGCAGGACGCCCATCAAAGTCCTTGCTGCTCCCCTCTGGCCTCCCCTACGAGTCACTGATGCCCCTTGTGCCTGGCTGTGCCCCCATCAACCTGGAGCGCTCCCTCCTGCTGCGCCCAGGTGGAGGCTTCCATATCCCCCCTCCTCTGGGCACACTCCCCTCTGGCCTGCATGCTCTGGGCACCCAGAATAGGGAAAGGACAGTGTGACAGGTCCCCTGTAGGACCTCATCCTACAAGGGAGACTGATGTTTGTGGGGGATGAGTGCTGTCTGTCAGCCCCACAGGGCGGGACTGTGCTCATGGCTGGTGCAGAGAGGGTCCTGGGCACCCATGGATGGGGAGACCCAGCTAGGAGTCCCCAGGTTCACCTCATGCCACGTGTCTCCTACCCACACTGAGTGACATCTGGGGCCGTGATGCATCCTTGTCCTGCGTGCTGGGAGGTCGGCTCCAGGCTCGGCGGACACGGTGTCTCTGCCAGTGCATTTCCGGCGTCTGTGGCTCTTTCTTTATCCCTCTGCAGCACACTGGCTGGTGCTGTGTGGTGTTAGGTGACCGTGGCAGCTGCAGGCCGCCTTGTGACTTCTCGGAAATGGTCTCAGCCACCCCCTTCTCCAAAGACACAAGGCACTGTCTCCCGGATCGTTCCAGTCAGTCAGTCATTCCGGCATAAATCTTTAACTTCCTTTTGGGCTACATTTTGTCCCATTGATCTGTCTGCTATGTCGACAGGGTGGTGCACCCTCACCCATCTGGCCCGCAGCCTCGTGTCCTTGGAAGGCTGGCTGCCTGGGCAGGCCACCCACCCCTGCCATCCTCACCACCTCTCTCCTCCAAGCTTCCTGCTCCTCAGGAAATTAGGTTGCCTCTGTCTTCAGAATGCATGGGAACTGGCCACTTCTCTCCACATCCTTGGCAGGTGCTGTGGCATCTGGGGAGGGCACCTCATGACCCTACTCTGTGCCAAGCTCTGTACCACCTGGCCCAGCCCCGTGAGGCCCACATGGCAAGCAGTGAGGTGGGCTGGACGGGAGGCAGGGCTACAGAGATGTGGGGTGTTGTAGGGTGACAGATGGCGATTTCAGAGCAAGCATGGAAGCTGGGGCTGCGGGATCCTGGTTTGACGGACGGAAAGTGGGGTGGGGTGGGGTGGGAGATGGAGGGACCAGTCTGGAGGACACCACTCCCTGAGTCCCATGCCTGAGGGGTGACCAGATAAGGTCAGGGGAGGAGAGGGCCAGGAAGGTGGGAGTAGAGGGAGAGGGTCAGCTGGGGAGGAGGCCTGGGGACCAGAGAGGGTGTTGGTGTCAGGCTGGAATGTTGGTGATGTCAACAATGGCCTGGAATCTGCCAGCAGAATTCCTCCCAGGAGCCAGCGTGCTGTGCTCTCTGGAGAGACGGGCGGTGAGAGTGGCCAGTGGGGTCCCAGGAAGCGTGGAGAAACCATAGGGCAGGAGCTGAGGGTTCCTTCCACAGAGCAGGGCCCACCTGCTCACCCTGGGAGCCTAGGGAGCCTGACACCGTCCCTCCTTCCCTCCGACCTGCTGCGCTTCCTCTGGCCATCGGTGTAGATTGACGGTGAGCCAGGCGCTGCCCTCCACCCCCACGGCCGAGGTCCTGGTTTAGTTTCGTGTGTGGTTTGTGTTCTTGTTCATGGTCTTTCTCCGGCTTAAATGCCGAGGCGCTGCGGTGGCCCGTCGTGTCCTGTGGCCCATGGCTCTGTGTCCTGGGGAAGTCGCTCCCCCTCCCGCTGTCATGTGTTCTGTGTCTTCTCCGGGTTTTGAAGTGTGAATTTCCATGTTTCAGTCCTTCTTTCATTCAAAACATGTTGTTTTGATTGTAGCGTGTGGCAGGGACCCGTTTTCTTCTTTTCCAGGGCGATCACCAGTGGCTGGGCCCTGTTTGTAAGTGGCCTCTTCTCCCCACGCCTCTGGCCCTGGAGACACCACAGTTTCCAGAATGTCAGACAGCATCTGTTGCCTGGGGTGGGTGCAGCTGCCACCCTGTGGGCGAGGCTCCAGGCTCTCCTCTCCATAGGGGACCTTAGTCCCACTGCCAGGTTCTTACAGCTCCTGCCGGCCCACCTCCGGGCACCCACCTCTGCAGCGGGTCTAAGCCTCAGCTGCACTTGATGCCGTGTCCAATCTCTTTTTTTGTTTTTGTTTAAAAAATAGACTTGTTCTCACCTGACAGTTCCCATCTCTCCATTTTCCTCCCTGAGACCACACAACACTCAGCTGCCCTCCTCTCAGGCCCCGGGACTGGCTTCTGCTATGTGCTGTGATCTCTCAAACTAGACTCCCCTCGTGTTTTCTCTGGTTTCTTGTTCTCACCGCCGGTCTGGTTCCTGGTCATTGCATATTTTAAGACCTTGCTGGCTTGTTTCTCTGCTTCCCCAGGTCGGGTATGGAAATGGGTTTATGCTGGAAACCAGGAAAGTCCTAGTTCATAGTTTCAGGCCACACGAAGGAGGTGGAAATGTTTAGATTCTCCGAGGTTTCACTTTGGTGTGGGGTCCTGTCTGGGCAAGGTCTCATGTGTGGAGTTGGGGAGGGCTGGAGGGCCAGCTGGTCTCCTGGGATCCCACCCTCCAGTGTCCGTCGCCTCCCTAGACCCTGTCCCCATCTCTGGCAGCCTTGACATGCAACTTGCCATCTGTCTTTGGTTTCCAGAGGGACAGACCCCGTCCTCACCCTCCTATTACTCACTAGGGAAGGAGGGTTGGGGGAATCAGCTCTCTATCCTGGACCAGTGCTAGTGCTTTGACTATAAACATCATTTCTGGACAGAGGTTATCTCCAGGAAGAGAAATGTTGTCCCCTGAAGGGGAGCAGAGCATGCATTCCTGTGTGTTTGCACGTGTGTGTGCACACAGGTGTATTGAGTGCACACTTGCTGTCTGTGGCTGTCTGCTGTCTGCCCATCAGTGTGGGTCGTCAGGGTGTATGTGGACTTCCAGATTCCTTCGAGGAATAATGGGATGGACGGCGGGCCAGGCTTGGGAGCCCAGGGGTGGTCTGGGCCTGGCCCATGGTGGGCAGGACGAAGACCCCTGATGCAGCCCAGTGGGTGGTCCTGTGCTGAATGCCTATCTCATGTGTGCCCTCCCTTTCAACAGGAAGAAAGTACTTGTTGGAGATCAGGAAGAAGTTCAAGAAGTCTATGAACAAGTACCCAGAGACCTTGGGGTTGCTGCTCCAGTTGAATAAAGTGTACACCAGCTACAGTCACGAATGAGCCATGGCTGCCCATCTGCCCCAAGGCTGAGTGGGCCCCAGCACCCAGGAAGGGGGAGGAGCAGGGCATCAGGCACCCTGGGCTCGTGGAGGCCAGGGGAGCAGGCAGCCACTGCTCTACAGGTACCCCCAGCCTCACTGCACCCAGGCTGTCAGGGGAGCCCCTCTGTGGAGCCTCATTCTTTCCTCCAGGGCGTGCTGTCCACCGTGTTGGGGGGCCCTGCCCCTCACACTCTGGGAGTCTGGGGTGGTGGCACTGAGCCCTCAGCGCTCCAGGCTTCTGGGGAGAGGCTTTGCTGAACGTCTGCCAGGCTGCTGGTATGGGCTGTGATGCCCAAATAAAGGGACTCAGCAGCAGCTCATGTGTCTGTGTTGGCTTCTAGTCTCTAGATGAGGAGCTGGGCTTTGCATACAGTGGCACCTGGGCAGGGGGAACGGGGAGAGGACAGGGCTGGCAACTTCGCCCCAAGGACCGTGCAGGCCTTGGCTTGCGGAGGCATGGTGGCTGGGGCAGTGGTTCCACTCTGGTGAAAGACGCAGGGCACAGCGGGACTCTAGAGCCGGATGGCACCTTCAGGGCATGCCACCAGCCCTGGCCTCAGGACCACACTGGTCCCCCTCCCTCCAGCTTCCTGGGCATCTCCAAGGATCCTTGGCAGGAGCTGGAACTTCCCGGGCACGTGCGAGGGTGTGTGTGTCCAGAGCAGCGGAGGTATGGACGGCAGAGGGGCCTGGGCCTTTTCCCCTGCAGGGCACCAAGTCCTCCTGGAGGGGGATGAGGACACACAGACCCTGCACTCTGCAGCCTCCAGGCCGCAGGTGTTGGGTGCAATTGCTTCCCCTCCCAACGGGCCCTGAGGCCCACCATGCTGTGCACAGCCCGTGGGGACATGCTTGCTGCTGGGCTGTGCAGGGAGGGATCACAGCAACCATACAAGGTCTCCAGCCTTTTATTCATACAAGGACACAGGAACATATGTCACCAGCTGACACCACACGGCAGGACACAGCAGGCCTGGCGATTGCCTGGCCAGTTCTTCCAGAGACCCATGTGAGGTGAGGACAGCACAGGCCCTATTGGGCCATCCCATGCAGCACAAGGGCACCATCCTGGCACACCACAGTCACTGTCCAAATCCTGAGTCCGGCTGGCCCTCGCCCACAGGGAAGGAAGCCCTGGGCCCAGTCCCCACCCCAACACTTCAGAGTTAGCATGGGGTGAACGTGCCTATGGGACTGGGCTACCTGGTGGAGTTCGGCTGGAGGCCTGGCCCCAACACACTGAGAACGGTGCCAGGGGCCCTGACCAGCAGCCAGGGGCCTCCCCAAGGCCTCAAGGGAAAGCAAAGCGGTGCTAAGCAGCCTGCCCGGGACGCTGGCACTGGCTAGGGTGGCTGTCCCTGCCCATGCTGGCTCCGCCTTCCCCAGACCCTCCGGGCCCACCTTCTCCTTGCCTGAGCCCCTCTCAGGCAGGGTGCCAGCCCCCTCCCCAGGGCCCCTCTCAGGCAGGGTGCCAGCTCCCTTCCCAGGGCCGGCAGCAGCTGGGGCCAAGGAAGGAGGGCCCCCAGGCCTGCATGAACAGGGTGTACGCCCAGATCCTGGGCCCTCAGGAGGTCATACTTCAAAAGCTATTTGGGAGGAGCTGAGAAAGCTCCCAGTGAACATGGGTGAGAAAAATCTGTACATATCTGCACATCTGGAAAAGCCCTTAACTGTCAAAGCTCCCCCAGGCTCCCTGCAGCTGGCAGGGTCGAAGGAGGGACCCAGGCGTCCCTCTGACCTGCAGTGCCAGGGCTCACTGGCCCTGAGCTGAAGTTTCACCTGCCACTCAGCATCCCTGTGGCCAGGTGATGGCCATGGGTTGCCTCCAGCCCTGGCCTATGTTACCCTGAGCTGGCCTCTGGCCTTGGCCCTGGGTGGGGACAGGAGGGAGGATAGTGGCCAGGTTACTCCTCCCACATCTTAAGTCCTTATTCAGGCCGTGGACCCAGCCCATGTGTGAAGGGGAGGCTCACCTTTGCGGAGGGCCCCAGCTTGCTTTTCTGGGATGGCCAGGAGCGGGAAGCCCACCCACAGACAACTGAGAGCAGAGCCCAGAATGCATGGCTGTGCCAGCTGCTGCTCATGGCACATCTGAGGCCCCTGAAGCTGGTCTTCGGCAAGGAGGTCTGCAGGGACTGGCAGCACCTTGCCAGACAAGCTCTCACCTGACTCAGGGTTCTGGGGGGGCCTATGGCATCACAGGGTGGAGGCCTGGCTGCATATGAGGGGCTCGTGCATAATCTCAAAGGCCCTCAAGGTCTCAGGTGGTGGAAGCCCTGACACCCTCTTGGGGATTCTTGGGGCACTGAGGGATGGGTCCCACTTTCTGACATCTGGAGCCCCTAGTTGTCATGGAAGGAGGCAGAAGAGGAAGGCACAGGCTCAGGGTGCCTCCCCACAGGCCCTGGCACTGGTCGGTGATGGTGCAGGGAGCTGGGGAGAGGCTTGTGGGCAGACTGGGGCCCAGGAGGGAGGGCCCCAGGTCTGGGTGAGCAGGGGCAAGCTCAGATCCTGGGCCCATGGAAGGTCCCTGAAATACATGGCTTTTGGGGACATTGTTCCCAGCTGACCTGAGAGCCTCACACAAAATTAAGAGCCAGGGTGTTGGCAAAGCCAGGCCTGTGGGGCCATCGCCACTCACCCTGCCCCCAGTGCGTCAAGACAGCAGTCCCCCGCTGTCCCTCTCTGTCCTGCCCTGGGCCTCTACGACGAGGGGAATTAAATATTTGTCTGTTCGTGTTTTGGCAAAGTCAGTCCTTGGCCTCAGTCCCAGGGGCTGGGAGCAGTTACCGCCACCGGGGCCTGGCCACTGAGAGAAGCAGGATGAGGAGGAGGACCAGGAGGGCCATGCAGGGCTGGGGGCAGCCTGTGGCTGAGGTCTTCTGGCCCTCCCGCTCTGACAGGCCGGGGAGGGCGTGGGTCAGGGTTGTCCGTGAGCTGGAGCTCTTCTTGTTGACCCTCTGGCCGCAGATGTCTTCGGGGCAACCGTCCCCACTCCCTGAGCTGCTGCTGCCGTCGTCACCTGGGGAGGAAAGGAGGTTCGGGCAGGCCAACCTCGCCCTGGGGACCACAGGTGCAGTGTTCCTGCGTGTGGGCCTCCCATGCTAGGCGGCATCCTGCCAGGGCAGCTTGCACTGCCTTGGTTTGCCAAGGCTGGATGGACATCCTGGCCAGGTCTCAAGTATGCCTGGGGACATGTCAGGGGTTGGGCAGCAGCAGTGTCCTCAGAGCCACTGGAGGCTCAGGGGCTGGGAAGGCCCCTCCCCTGCACCCTTCTGCAGTGAGGTGGGGCTTCATGGCACCCCCATGGCCCTCAGCCCCCGGCATAGTCCCCACCCCCAGCCTGGTGCCTGGCCCTCACTGGCGTCCTGGAAGTCTGCGTCCTCGCCATTGTAGGCACTGCGCAGCCGGTTGGTCATGATCTTCAGCTGCATGATCTGCTGGCGGATGGTCATGTCGGGCTTGGTGATGTCCACCTCCACCTCGGGGTTGTTGATCTGGTTGGCCAGGCCGTCACCCATCACCTCAGGGAGGTACCTGGGGCCATGAGGGCAGTCACCCAGGGCAGTCACCAAAGTCGCTGCAAAGCGGCACTACCCAAGCACTCCCCTCCTCCCGCCCAGGTGGTGGCACATCTGAGACCCCCTCCCAGTGGCCTTCAGGCACCAACAGGAGCCCATGAAGGCCCCACAGCAGTGGGGTGTGGACATACTGCATGGTGTGTGGGGCGAGGAGTTGGCTTAGGACAAGGATTTGGCCCTCGTCCCAGCTTTCTGTGTCTGCTGTGTGTCCCAGATGAGGCATAGCCCTGTGCACCACACAGCACCTGGTGCCTCAGGCCAGACAATGGGCCCACTGAGAACTCACGGGAGGGATGACCTGTGGTCAGCCAGGTGGCACCTACCGGCCCTTGGCCATCCCGTTCCAGCAGCGGTCGTCACTGGAGGCACTCATGGCCATCTTCTCACTGCACAGTGTCCCTGGGAGGCTGATCCAGAAGTCCTGGGCATCGCGGAGCTGGGCTTTGGCCTCAGAGACCTGCAGGGTAACAGTCAGACCACTGGGGGCCCTGGCCCAGCCTGCCCTCCCCTCTCCCACCCCCCAGGGCCTGGCCGGCTGAGGGGCCACTCACCAGCTTCTCCAACATGCCTGCAGGTGGCTTCTCCTGCAGTGCCAACTTGCCCCGTGGCCGCTTCTCCTCAGACCCGGGGCTGTGAGGATTCACCTTGGGGTCCCCGCAGCCCTGGATGACCTGGGGGGAGAAAACAGGGGTCCTGGAGGGGCACGAGGCCATGTCTGGGACACCCCTCCCGTACTGACCACACCCTCCTGCCCGCACCTTGGCTGTGAGTGTGTCTCTGTTGTCCTGGAGGGCGTTGATGGCCTCCGCCAGCCACAAATGCACGCTGCCGATGACGTTCTCTGCGCCCGCGGGGCCCCAGAACTTGTCGGTGATGAGCACCATGGAGTCTGGCACAGGCGTGGGCACACACAGGCAGTTTGTATGTCTGCATGCTGGCCCACCTTATGTCAATGCGTGCAAGCTCATACATGTTGACATGTACATACCGTACTGTCCTACCACACTTGTTCAGGTACATGTTAGCTCACATATTTATATGGATGCATACTATCAGTACGTGTGTGTCGCACGTGCCCTTGTTGACCCACACCGTGCTAGCACATGTGCACGTTAGCATGTACCTATTGACCCACTACATGTCAGCACATGTGCATGCCAGCTGACCCACATACCAGCAACATACATGTTAGCTCATGCATGTGTTAGCCCACTGTGTCAATATATGCTGGCATATGTGTATGTTGGGGCACTTGCCCAGTGGGGAAGGGCAGGAACTATGACTCCACAGGGCTCCCTCCCACACAACTGCCTGTGTCACACTCCACCCAGGCATTCAGAAGGAATCCTTGTCCCTTGACCCTGAGGACCACCTGCCTCCCAGGGCCCTGGCCGCGTTGGCAGGTGGTGGCAGTAAGGGCTCACCCAGAAGGTTCCTCCACTCGGCGTCCAGGTCGGCCTGGTTGGCCAGGCAGCCCTTGAGTACGTTGCGGCAGTAGTCGGGGCAGGGCCGGGCGCCGGGGACCCCCAGGCAGTGTGCGCAGTACAGTAGCTTCATGATGGCCCGTGAGCACTCAGGGCCCAAGGGCACCTGGAGAGCCAAAGCAGCCTCAGCACCTTGTGGTGGGTGCCCAGCCCCCCAAGAAGTCCCAGGGTGGGGGCTCTGGATGGTAGTCAGGTGGCCTCAGTTCTGCTCCAACCACAGTGGGGCCTGGCATGGCCCTTCTCGGGGGTCCTCTCTCGTCCCAAGAGGGTGCTGGCCATGGGGCACTCACCCTGATCATCACTCCCTGGCACACTGTGTCACTAGCCCTCCCAGGGAAGCCCTCCTGGAACACAAGTGCCATGCAGATGGGAGGACCAGAGTCAGGGCTGAGGGGTGGCGTGCTAAGGACCCCAGCTGCAGGAGGAGGTGGCTCACACCCAGGGCTGTGAGACTAATGCTCTCCCACACCTATTATCAGGTGGGTCTGACATGGGCTGCCCAATGGGGTAAGGCACCCTCTGGTCTGCATGGCCTCGGGCTCCAGCCTGCTCTGGCCTCAAGGCACATGTCACTCTAGTCTCCTGTCCTCCTGACCCCTTCGGCTGGATCAGCATCAACCCTAGACCCTTCTTGCTGTCCTTCCTGCCTGGCACCCAGCCTGGCCAAGGACTAGACAGTGGGTGGGCTGCCCAGAGTGGAGCTCACGTCTTCTGATGTGCTGTCGGAAGGTCCCTGGGCAGCAACCCAGGATCAGGAGGTGGCCCAGAGGCCCAGGGGGCTGGGGTTTGAAGCAGTGGGGCAGGGCTTGGGTCCCCCAGGGGGTTCTGAGAGCCCTAGGCAGCTGGGCGCACCTGGGCCACCTTCCGGACCACATCGCCAGCCACGCCCAGGCCCTGCACGAAGGAGCGTGTGGCTACGAAGGCGCGGGTGGCCCTCAGGCGCAGCTCTCGAGGGGCATCCCCAAAGGGCCGCAGGGGCTCGGCCTGCTTGCCCAGGCAGTCCAGGTAGTCGTCAGGCAGCAGCAGTTGAGGGTGCAGCTGCCTGAACAGGCGCTCCAGCAGGCGGGCCCAGAACTCAGCCAGCGCATCCTCCAGGTGCAGGTTGGCCCCTCGGTAGTAGAGGCGCAGCTCCGTGTACAGGTCCCGGAAGGCCTTGGCGTTCTGTGT